AGATTTGCCATATTAACAGAACCATGAATTCTTCTCCAGAAATACCTACAGGATAATGTCAGTCATCAGTACATGATCTGAAGCTCAAGCCAGTTGGGTTATGCAGCAAAACAGTGTTCTAAAGCACAAGAGCAAGTCTATCTCTGAATGGCACAAAAGAACCTCATTGTGAGACTGTAGTAGGACCTAAAATGGACAGTTTGTGCTTGACAACCCTCTAAAATGGCAGAATTAAAGCAATGTTTCAATGATAAGTGGACCAGAATTCCACAGTAATGCGAAAGACTGATCTTCTGATGTAGGAAGCATTTAATTGCAGTTGTTACTGTAAGCTACCATTCATTACGTTTAGGAGGCAAAAACAATTTCACATTGGATGATATAAGTGTTGCAAAACTTTTTCCCTTCTAGAAATGAAATGATCATTTTAAAACTGCCCTCTACACGGTGATTTACTGTTCCAAAAATCTTCATCAGAGTTTGAGGAATCTCTCCCAGACTCCTTTGGCTCATCAGGGCAGTGAGAAATAATGGCCACAACATCTGTCTTGTGTCCTGTGCCAGTATGCAGAGGGCCAGGCAATTTGCCATGCTACCCTACATCCTTCAATTGACCATCTGTCTGCTTCTGGACCAGTATGGTCTCCTGAATAGTTTCCTGAGTTAAACCAGCTGTGTCTCTTGAGATGACATGCTTTGGCAGCTTCAGGTCAGAGTAATGTAGTACCAAATGAGGAGAAAAATTCAATTCAGTGTCCTTATTAAGTATATTGAGTAATATCTCAGCAAGAGTGTGCCATCGCTTTTGCATTAACATGTTTTGACATTAGCAGTTCAAAAGGATTCGATCGGAGGGGGATTAGCACAGGAGAGCCTGGCTGAAGGTCCAAAAATCCATGGCTAATGATCAGCTTCCTGGGGATGGCTTGCGGAGAAGCATTGAAGAGAGAATTCCGAAGTTGTGTTGCTGGGTCGATGAGACAGACCCCACACAGGCCATTATATTGTAAGCCGTAACTCAAAGAGCATTGATGGAAAACATCCCTAATGTGTCCTGAAAATAAATGAAGATCCACTAAGAAAATGTTGTTGAGACACGTAAAATTGTTAAACTGGGATCTGAAAAAGGCAGCGAGCGTTTAAAAAAAAAATTCTGTATTTTTCTCTGGTAAAAGATTCCTTTAATGTCTTGTAGAACCTTGAAGCACCATTGAATCCATTCGCTGTGGCTCCAGACAGCCTTGCATTTTTATACATTTAAAAAGTTCTATTTTCAGACAAGGAAGTATGAGTGAGCTGTGTCAAATCCTGTTCCTGATCCCTTTGGATTTTCTCTCTTTCTTCTCTTCAGAGGGCACCCAGATGAACAATGTTGGCCCAGGATCAGCCCTGATGCAGGCTATGACACAGTACCCCCAACTGGGACAGGTGTCCCACGCCTATGAGCAGCCACAGCCTGGCAAGGAGCTCAACAAGTATGCCTCATTGAAAGCTGTGGGTAAGACTGCCTGCATTCTTCATTAGTGATGTAGGTTTAACCATAACTGCATGGCTGTTTCCACCACCCTATTATACAGACCTTGGGTTTGTTAGTAATCTAGCATTTATATCTGACATAGATATATCTACAAACTGCTGTAGTGGAAAAAAGCAAAACAATGTATTGACAACGTAAAAACTTTTTTTTGTTTTAAATTTTCATATTTTGTTTGTCATATATCTGTCAAATATCTGAAAAATATAAAAGGTGAAGATATGCAAGGTGAAGGGGGGGAAATGAAGTCATGGGTTACTAGCGACCTGAGGTATGCATTTAAGGGTTGATCAGGCCTCATGCACTATGTTTATGATCTTTTGTGGAAACTGTAAGGAATGATCTACCTTTGAGCACCATGTTTTATCATGTTTAGTTGAATAATAACTTAAAGGCTGATTCAAAAACTTGGCTATTTATTTCATTTTAATCTACTTTCCTCAGTTAATGATGTGAACTTCTGTTTTTTGCATTTGTTCATAGATTCATAGAAAATTCACAGATTAATGGATTTTTATTTATTTTAATTTTCAGCTAAATTCATGATTTTGAATGATGAATATGCCATTTACATGAATCATGTAGATTCCTGGGGCGCTCTACTGCCAGCAAATTAATCCTTCCTGTCCCCTAAACACAGCAGCAGTTCACGAGTTCAGTAGTCCGCAGATATAGCATTTCATTTTTATGGGCCAATCAAAAATGAGATAAAGTTATCAAAACAAGAAAGGAACATTTTCGCATATTTATTTATTTTTGGTAGCTAGCAAACAATGCAGTTTTTGGACCTGTAGTTGTTGAAATCAATGAGTGCGTTTTCATGTGCCTAATAATCCAATAACTGTAGAAAATTAGATTTTGTCAGTAATTTGTTTGCATGCACTTGAGAAATCAGATAATGGTAAGACTCTGGGTCTATGTGAGTTAGGCAGTAATTGGATTTCTGCTTCACAAACAGGGTAATAAACTCACAGAAGAAGACATGACATAAACGTGAGGTAAAACTCAAATGTTATGTTTTTTTTTTAACATTGAGTCACTTTAGCTGACAATACGAACATACATCATCTAGAAGATTAAGAAAATTCAAATTCTTAATTTTATCAAGCATGTAGTTGGTTTCAGCATCTCTCCAAAAGTGTTTTGTTGCCGTCTCACCGGTGCTGTGTTAAATGCTGTTTCCGGGAGAGTGGTCTATTTTTGCACATGCACAGACTGAGAAACCGAAAGAAATCAGAGTGAGGGTAAACATGCTAAAAATCCCGATTCAGAGTGCACCAGAATTTTATGTTAAACTCATTACAACTTTCTCTCCAGGAGCAATGCCGCCAGACCCTGCTACAGGAGGTTGATTTCTGAACTTGTCACCTTTTCACTGCTCATGAGTCTTCATGTCTATTAGTCTCACAAACTGTTTTTTTCTTAATAAGCAAGCACATAATTAGGAACAAAAGACACACATCAGTTACATCTAACTGTTATTCTGATAAAACCAGACAATAATAAGTCTTTACTGATCCAAACTGCACTCTGAATGAGCTTGCATATCTGATCTGGTAAAATTACAGCACCTTCAGCAATAAAGGAAGCCTGATGTATTTTTAATACATGGTAGCACACATATTCTACACGGTGATACATTTCACTGTGGCCAAGGTGGACATGCAAGCACCGTAACTCTTTGGCAGCAGATTTTAATAAGTTAAGAGGGCCATTACCAAATTCTCAGAATGAATCATTAACGACACACTCAGTTTGAGGGTTAGCGATGCTTTATAGAGAAATATCTTGATTAATCATGACATATAAAGAGAGATAAATGCACAAGTTTCTTTGCAATGGATATTCAAAGAATACCTCACCAGCCCACCAATGGCCTTTGATTAGTCTTGCAATACTGTGTGTGTCCATGCTTGTTGTAGAGGCATGGCTCCAAATTCTGAAATTCATAGCCCCTTATTGACTTTTGTAAAAGGAGGGCAAAAATGCATTGTGTAAGGTCATATCATTTGATTTTGTCCAGACCTTGGCAAGCCCAAATGGGCTTTTGAGGAGAAAATTATTACTTCAGTCTGAATGTTTTTTTATTTATTTTTGGGTCTGTTGCATTACTCTTCTGATAAATACATTACATGAATTCTGCTGCCAGGCTAAGTAGCAAATATGAGCTGAGAGGCACTGCCAGCACTGCCGGTATGGTGCTTTCCATCTGAATTGCAATTGACATATCTCAATTATAGTGGCTGCTTGCTTATTTTAGACAGAAGGGACAGAATAGTCCTATGCTTTGAGTGCTATACTGCTTCCTCTGAATTTTCTGATGTAAATGAAGCGGTGTGCTAGCATGTACAAAGCAAACCATGTATCTTATTTGTTTTGAAAGGCTAAATTTGATGGAGATTTCTGAACATAGGCAGAAAAGGGCTTTTTTCAAGGCTACTTTTCACATTTATTCAGTTGCAAAAATTGGTCTGATAGTGTGTTTGTATCACAGAGCATAAAGGGACCAGTGTCAGACATTTCAATAGGAATAAACTCCCCTATAGTGAGTTTTCCGATAACATTTCATTTGGACTGAAACTTGGACTACTCTGCATGAGCTCAGCCAAAATCAATTAATCTGTATCAAAGCTCAGCCTATCAGAAACCTTCAGTTGTCTGACTGCTGTCTGAGCATGAAGAAACGGTATGCATAATGGTGGACTTCTCAACGTGACGTTCATCCACAGCTGAAACTTTCCCGCTGGTAATCCACTGAAGTACTGCCTGAGCAGCCGGATCATTAAGGAAACAAAGAGGAGAAGCTTTTCAAAGGGAAGCAGGCTCGGGAGACGAGTTAGAGAGACGGCAGCAGCAGCCACAGAGCTAAACTGTTCGGGCTGCTGCTGCCGGAGACTGGGTGGTCACCCTCTCTGATGTATGTTAATCTTGGGGTATCGACGTGTATGAAAGGGCCTTGTTCTCCCTGTGCAATCAGTCTAGTCTCTCCGCTGCCTCACTTGTTTGGTGGGGCCGCTCTCCCTGTAGCAAGGTGTTAGATCCATGCTAGGGACTCAAGAGGCTGTCAGGGCGGCTAGAAAGGTCACCTGAAGGATATTTAATTAAGAAGTCTAAAATGTCATGGAGAACCGATGAAGACTTCAAGCGTGCGGAGGTTGTCCCAATTAGGGCTTTACACAGTTTCAAGGTGAAGCTCCGTGGGCACTGGTGTGTGAACGGTAGGAAAATTACATCTCAACCCTGAATGGCTGGGGACAGGCTAAGAAAACACAGAAAGAACAAGATTTAAACCCTAATGACAGATGATCAAGGAAGCACAAAACGCCTGACACAGCTGCACCAAAAAATTTAGACAAACAAATTCATGTGGATTTGACAATTTCACAAGAGATCTAAAACCCGAAGACATTGACGACTGATCTACCATTGCCAGAGGGCTTCATGTTTTCAAATAACGTTCCAAATATTAATTATTTAGCGAATGCACATTAATAATGGAAAAAAAGAAAAGAAAAATCTAGGGCAAAATGAATTATTCAAAAGATATTTCACACCTTCAGACCATTTAAGTACCTTGATGTAGGGCCTATTAAGACTTAACATAAAACACTTGCCATATCAACATTTTTTTTCCCCCAACTACTCCTTCCCCTTGTAGCTATGTAAATGAAAACCTTTCCTTAAGCATCCAGATAAGAATACATGTCTATGGGGGACTGAGTTTGATGTGTGCAATGTTGGCTCCAAGGAAGTTCTCATTGGAGGAAAGCTGGATGTTTGCATAAAATGTGCTTTTTAAACTGTTTATCATAAGGGTGGAAAAAACAATTTTTAAGTCTAAGACAGTCCTTCATATTTTATGGCATCACTGTTCTCTTTTGTTGAATGTCAGTTTGATTGTTTACTTTCACTATCCTGATACTTGATGTCTATTTTTTCCTTTAGACATGTGCCAGTATTAAGTAACTTGGTGTAGCGCAATACTAAACACATGCAGTAACGTTATTGTGCACAATTTGCACAGTATGTGTGTAGGCTGTGTAGTACCGAACCCAATGTGGGAAAACTCTGCAACCTTTAGCTTGACGCTAACATAGAATGATAAATCTCATTCTTACTAGCAGAAATTAGCTTTTGGAGCAGCTTCACAGCTATTGTTAAAGGTCTCCTTGTTCTTTTGCAAGGTTCTCAACTAAAATCCTAACTGCAAATAGCCTTGCATGATGGATACAGAATGAGCATCATTATGTGGACAGTTTATTTTTATTTTTTATTATTTTATTGTAAACATTACACACATATTTGATTCAGATGCTCTTATCCAGAGCGACTTGCAGTGTTACAAGGTACAGATGTAGGTGAATGTAGTATTAGGTGTCTTGCCCAAGGACTCTTATTGGCGTAGCACGGTGAGAGTGTAGCTTACCCAGATGGAATTGAAACCTAGCGCTGTGCAGACAGTACTACCCACTACACTATGCCCCAGTACACTGCAGCACACTGCAACTCTAGTGCAACATACATCACATCTTACTTTCTTGGAAGGAAAGATAGGTCCCACCAAGATTTATTTTGCAAGCAACATCTTCTTAAAGCAACCTTGAGGCACTATGTAAAAATCGAACATATTACTATAATCATTATTTAACACTAGCCTGTTTTATTCATTTACATTCCCAGCAGAGAAAGCGAATGAGAACTTCTACGCAAACCGGAGGCACATGGCAGAGCTGACGGCCAAAGGCACGCTTCCTCTGCAGCCGGTGCGGTTGGAGCCAGAGCCAACCAACCCGTACAGCCCTGAGATGCCGTGCCAAAAGCAGAACGGACACAGAGCCAAGAGCACCAAGGTGCACAGCTCACACCCGCTGCCCTACAGCTCCAACACCATCGCCACGACAGGCATGCTAAAGGGCTGGGAGGCAACAGAGACACTGGGCCGCCGCCACACGTATGGCCCCAAGAGGCACAGTGCATTGGTGGAGCAAGTCAACGAATTAGCCTCCGCCCAGAGCCAGCACTACCTGCCCCCACACCCCTACTATGTCACCAACAGCAAGACAGAGGTGACCGTGTGAGGGGCCGTGATGGAGCCAGCTGACCCCTAGCCAGAGTAGAGGATTTGGAAGAGAGGGAGAGGGATTTGAGTGCAAAGAGGAGCAAAAAAGAAGAGGCGTGTCAAAGCCCTGCATTGGCAGAGGTGCATCCAGCCATCTGCATGGCGCCGTGCGTGTAGGGTGTCTGTGTGCTTTTTTTCCCTTTCGTCCAGGAATGGTTGTGCACGGAAGAGGATGGCACTGGACTCCTGCCTCATTCAGGGGGGGAACAACCATTATTTTGTTTAACCGGTACTCTCTCTGTGTCCATTACTTTAATCTCTGCATTATAATGCAATTTAACAATATGACCTATAGTAATGAGCTTATGACACAAAAATGAGCATAGTAGAGGCTCTCCAGCAGAGAGCAAGTGTTCCAAATGCCAGATATTCAATGCAATTAGATTCATCAGCAGCGTGAGATGTTACAAGTGGTACTCTGTGCAGCAAGTCTATGAATGCTGTAATTCGTACTACGCTATTGTGGGGCACGTGGCCAAGAAGCCCATAGTGAAATGTGAAAACAGGTTCGAGAACACCAACCGGATGATTCTGGACATGTATGAAGCCGGTTTTCACATAGCTTAGTTAATGTCGATATAGGTAGTCTCCAGACAAAGTGCATCAAAACCTCTCTGTAGCGAAGCAGCACACTCTAATCCGATAAAACTCTGGGCCTGTGCCTTTCCATGAAACCTGGCATCTAAGAGCTTTGTGCTTTTTAAAAAAGCGCATACGGTGTTTCCTAAAGAACAAAGATGAAAATATACGCTCACCTGTTGTTTACCGCTGTCACATTTCAATAGAAAATGTTGATGCCTAGTGCTCTGAAACACATTTGTTACTTTTTGCTCTTCATTACTGTAACTCACTAGCTTCTGATGTGATTGTCATCTATTTTTGTACCTGCAAGCGCAAAGAAAATAGACTGTAGGACTCCCAGAAAATAAATTAAACATGCTGTATGTTTTTTTGTTCCTTTTTTAAATTATGGGAAAGTTTATTGTTGGAATTTTTAAGAGTACTGTGGTAATGGCGTTACAGTCAGTGAAGATTGTAGCAAACCCCAGATTTGAGAAGCCCAAACGAACAATGGAGACTTCATTATTTCCTACCATTTGGTGTTTTAGAGCCCCATAATCTCAAAATGTATTTCATTCAGATATACCCTGACAACAAACCACCATTATGTACTATATTGGAATTGTTATGTACTGTAAGTAAAGTCACTGAACATCTTAGACCACTAAATCCATCTAAGATTCCTGTTTCTTTACATAATTCTTCCAGCAGCACAATGTCTGTTTTAGGCTACTTGTGAACCTCTTATTTGTAATGAAGGAGTGCTCAGTGGTATTGAATAGGGTTCATACACTCATCTGGTGACACTTATTACAGGAGAACAAGTGCCAACCTGTGTTTATCTCTAAATTCCATCATATTTATTTAGGTCACACCAGTATTGTATGTGATCCTGTTAAGTCTTATAATCCACATTCTCTGTTCTTACTGCTCTATATAGGTAAGGCCTTTATAATGTTTATCAGAGCACCCAGCAAGGCTTTCTGAAATCATGTTTGTTTCTTGCTTTTGGCCGTTCTTAATAAAATAAATATATGAATAATACACTTGTGACCGACAGTATTGTGCAAAAGTCAGAAACACCCTCAATTTATTTAATTTCTAGTTAAAATAGCCATTAATTACAAATTATTCATTTTTAGCGTCTGGAAAAAAATGGAAAATATATATATTCAACAGAAACAGAACAGAAGCCTCTACAACTAAATATAATATCCAGTTAGTATTTAGTGTGTCCACTCTTTGCCTTTTTATAGATTCTTTCATTCTTTGGGAGAAAGAATGAAGAAATCTGCAGGGATATTTTTCACACCTTGAAAGTTCAGTCTTAGAAGTTGGTTGCATTTTATGTTTCTCACAATCTAAATAAGCCAAAACACATTATACAGTTATGTTGAGCTCTGCACGCTGAAGTGGTCAGTCCATTGTTCTGAGAACACCAGCAGCTTCTTTGTTTGATTTGCAAATGTTCTCTTTTTCTCAGTAATGGCTTCTTGACAGCTACACATCCTATCAGACTCATAGTGTTGAGTTGTCTTCTCACAGTGGAAGGATGGGCGGAAACACCTGTGGATATTTTCAGGTCTGAAGCAAGAGTGGAGCTTGATTTTCTCCTCTCTCTCAAAGATGAAGCTTTAGCTACTGTTTATCTGATGGAGACGGTTTTTGAGGTCTTCTAGGTCTTGTATGTTTTTTCTCCTTTCTTATGCAAGTGCATTATCTGATAATTAATCTCCTTTCAGAAATCTTCTGAAAAATGGCTCACTTGTACTTAATGGCTGTTTTGACTGGGAATTAAGTAAATGGAGTGCAATCTATAAGTTCTGCCCAGTTCTCTGAGTATATTTATATATCATTCAGAAATCATTGAAATTGTTGTTTATCCGAAGATAAACAAACATTAAGAACAAGTAATTAATGTCATTACTTCAACATGAATTTGTACTTATATGTACGAATGACTAACTGTCATTATTCCAAGAGTTGAACTACTGCATGAAATCAATGAATGAATGAACATGAGGTCATCAACATGCACACTTACGCATAGTTCTTCACATGGTGAGATTGCACACATCTCCAGAAACATGAAGGAGCTGTGGAAGTGTGAAAGAATCGTTGTATTTTTCCTCCAGGAAGTTACGCATTATGTAGTGTACCAGCTCCATGCGATGATGAACTCCACACACTAATGTTCTTTCCCATGCTATATAAAGCACCACTGATGCGATTTGCCATGTGTTGCGCTGAGCCCCCTGCCAAATGATGCAAGGCTTGCCGACACTTTAACTGCATGTCTTCATCATGCCACTCAAGCCCCAGCTCTGTGCGTCACCACCACACTCCTGCAACAAAGTAGCACTTAAAGCTGAAATAATGGCTGCTGGTTTGACATCCACTCAGTCCACTTAACGTTTATTAAGATGTCCCACCGTTGGTGACCTAATGACTCACAGCACACCTTAGAGTCATTCATGTATAGGAACATTTCTCTGAATGAAAAATTACTTCAGCTTCATGGCTTTTTTGTGTGGTTCTTATTCCCACGTTTAGAGGAACATAATGAAAAGGCTACTTCAACCCTATTTATACCGAGTTCAAACAGCTATTCTCAATAAATGCTGAAAACATTTTTTTCTAACAGGTTACGATCAGTTAGCTGAAAGTTAAGAGCCCCTTTAACAGTTTCACAGTGTTAAGCTGCTCATTGCTTACTTTTTCTTTTATTTTTGTTTTACTGTTTTGCCATTTATTAGCATTCGTCAAAACAATGACAACCAAGAAGAGCCAGTGCAAGTTGAATAACTTAAACTATGTTAAATAAGACACATTATTATATCATATCTTTTTACAGAGGATGACACCATGATTTTTCATAGAGTGGGCTACAACATTATCAATGCATTATGACATTTTGCAAAAGGGCTGATATTAATAGAGAAACACTAGAACTGTGACCCATTTCTTCAAGTAATTCAAGTGCAGTTAAAGCATGTTTGGAAGATGATGGACTCACACAGCAAATGGCTGTGTATGTCATGGTTACAGTCTTGGCAACTACGTTTTGTTACATTTTGTGGGTTGCCACTATCTTCTGTAAAATGCTCCGGCCCCTTAGTTTACTCAAGAAAAACAACGGCTCCAAAGCCTTTGGTATAACTGTTGGCTTGTTACATTCTTTTCATTGATTTTGAAATCTATGCCATTGTGATTTTGTTAACAAATTCACTTTGCAAAATGTGATACCTCAAGAATTAAATGTGGGAAACCTTTTTTTTTTTTTCATTCTGAATATGTGACCCATGGCATACAGTACTGATAACATATTTCCATATGGTATACTCTGAAAACAAAGCCGAAATAGTGATACAGTAACTAGATATTCCTTAAGTAGCTTAGTAGTTGCTGAACAGAGTAAGTTGTCGAGTTTAGTTGTCTGTTTTGTAATTGACATATCAAAAGTGAAATTCAATTATGCATTGAGAACAATCATAACAATAGGCATATTCGAACCAAGCGCTGGTACCAGCTATAACATGAGTGTTATCTAATGAAGGATTATTTTGTGGTCAGCGTCTTCTGCAGAAATGTATGTCCATTCGATATTCAATAAATCACATGCCTCTGTGGACCTAATGTGTTCTTGATAGAGACACTATAAAACTATGGGCAAACCAGAGAACCATGGGATTCCTTATCTCATCCTACTGCCTGTGGATAAAGATCTTCTGTACTGGATGACAGCCTTTTTTTAAGATAATGTATGTAACATTTCTATGTGCAAGTTGCAAAATGAAGCACTGTTGTATTGTTCATGTCACAATACTTCTTTACAATAAATGTCTTCTCAAACTTTTCTGAATTTTGCTTTGCTGTATATTATGAGAAAAACAGATTTTAAAAGGAGTGAAACATCAGAGTTTCTAAAATATGCTACACAGTTTATCTACAGTCGTATGTGTGTCCTAAGTCTGAAGGTCAAATTACATGTTTTGTTGATTTTCTAGGTGAAAATACACACTATGTCCAAACGTATGTGGACACCTCTGCAGGTGTTTCAGCCACACCCATTGCTAACAGGTGTATAAAATCAAGCACGTAGCCTTGCAGTCTTGATAGAGAAACACTGGCAGTAGAATGAGTTGTACTGAAAAGCTCAGTGACTTAAAATGTGGCACTGTCATAGAATTCCACCTTTGTCATAGGTCAGTTTGTGAAATTTCTGCTCTACAAGATCTGCCTTGGTCAACTGTAAGTGCTATTATTGTGAAATGGAAGTAACTAAGAACAACAACAGCTGAGCCTCGAAGCAGTAGACCATGCAAACTCACAGAGCGGGGTGCTGAGTACTGAAGCATGTAGCGTGTAAAAACTGCTTATCCTCTATTGCATCACTTACTACAGAGTTCCACACTGCCTCTGGAAACAGCATCAGCACAAGAACTGTGCATCAGGAGCTTTATGAAATGGGTTTCCATGGCCGAAAAGCTGCATACAAGCCTAAGATCACTAGACGCAATGCCAGGTATCGGCTGGAGTGGTGTAAGGCATCTGGAGCTGAGAGTGATGAGTCTGGCAGTTCAATGGAAAAATCTGGGTCTGTTGGATGCCAGGAGAAATGCTACCTAGTTTGAAGGAGGTGGAATAATGGTCAGGGGTGTTTTCAGGGTTTGGGCTCAGCACCTTAGTTGTAGTGAAGGGTAATGTTAATACAGTATACTGACACATTTTAGACAATTATTTGCTTCCAACAGTTTGGGGAAGGCCCAAACAAAGCGAGGAACGACGTGGTTTGACGAGTTTGATGTGGAAAAACTCCAGTTGTCTGCACAGAGCCCTGACCTCAACCCCACTTAACACCTTTGAGATGAATTGGAATGTTGATTGTGAGCCAAGACTTCTCATCCAACATCAGTGCCTGACCTTACAAATGCTCTTTTGTGCAGAACACTGGAGGCTGTTTCAGTTGCAAAGGCAGATCCAACTCTGTATTAATGCCCATAGTTTTAAAATGGAATGTCAAGCTCATATAGGTGTTGGTCAGTTGGTGTCCACATACTTTTGGCCATACAGTTAAGTTAACACATCCACAATCATATGAACTTAAATAGGTCATTTTCCTGTAAATTTTCACTTTTAACATATTGGGAAAAACAAAACATAAAATGTTCTACAACTTTTGAACAGGCCACTTTTTTGTTATGTTTTGTTTGCTTATGTGCAGAAATAAACAATAATTGTGCATTAAAATGTGTATCCTCCGTAGCTGGGTACTTAGAAAGTCAA